TCAGTTCACTGTGCGTCCATCCTGCCACCCTCTAGCTCACCCTGCCTGTAGGAAACTGTAAATGTGTCAGTGGCTCACAGTGACATCTACTGTGTGAAGCACCACCTTATCCCCCCCACTATGCCCTCTGCCAGCCCCTCCTAAATCATTCAGTTAGGACAGTAGCAGTGAATGACATTTCCCCCAGGTCCGCAGGACACCGAGGTAAAGCCAAGGCCTACACAGTAAACATCCACTCCGACATGCAGTAATGACTCCTCTCTGATACTGATCTCTGACTCGTCTATTACTCATGCAGACCAGGAAACATTGCCACATTATTATTGAGAAACAAAGCACTTTGAAATTCAAATGCAAGGATCTTGTTAAAGTGCTCTTTTATGAGTAGAGATTTAAAACTTTGATTTTGTTCAGTCCTTTATTCAGTTTTCAGGGGTTCAGGCCCGGTTCTACGAGGGTGCAAAAGCATGCATTGCAACCTCATTTTCAATTTCTGCACCCTCAATTGAAAGGCGACAAAAAATAAGTAAAGTAATCAAGGCTCTCAAATGACAACAGTGACTCAGACCGTGTTTATTACATCCATGATCTGATGGTTATGACAACGCCACGTGACCCGCCTGTGACACGGTTCACCACATGAGGGTCCAGTAACACCTACGCTCTTTGTCAATGCTGATACTAGTCACTGTAGCTGAACCCCCTATGATCTCAGATGCACCCTAAAACATTTTGTTGTAGAACTGGGCCTGCAGGGATTCCCCAACTTTCAAGAAGCCCAAAAATAAGAGTGCAAGAGACTGGGGACCCCCGACTTTCCCTGGAGGAGGTTAAGGCATGCAACGCACGCGCAATAATAGTCCTATCCAAACAAACCTTTTTTGTATATTTTACATTAAGTAATATACAATTTGGATTCATTTAAACTATGTATTAGCTTTTTTAGAAGGCCTCTCCCGACCCCCTGCTTGTATGCCCCTGCAGGGTCCTTACCCCCCACTTTTGGAACCTCTGGAGTAGGGAACAGCTTTGTGATTTTGTTGGCTCCTGTGTCCCCTGCCTGTTACTTCTTTTATAGTTGAACTACTAGAAACTTATCTGACCTGCACAGCTGGACTGCAGTGAGAGCAGATTTGAGGTAGTGGATGGATGAGGGGATCTCAAATATTTGTGATACATTTTAGACCTTCCAAAACAAGACACATAGACTTTTTCATTCTCCATGCACCTTGGAAGTTGGGTTACTTGTGCCAGAAAACCCCACTCGGCTTCTTCCAAACAAGAAACATACCCACATTACTACATTGAGGGATTGGCCAGGTGTGGGTAGGAGTGAAGGAAAGGTAGGATGTTACCTGGTGTTTTTATCTTCATTCTCTTGCTACACAAACTTATTCTTCAATTGTATTATTAAGAACACTTCTCTGAAGGAGGTGTTTTTTTATCCATTATTTTAGCAGAGACTGAGGTCTCTTTTAGCAATCTGACTCCCTTCTGACCCCTGGCCCAAACAGAAGAAAATGAACAAGCTACCAGCTCTCATACAACAACACTGCAAAAGTACAATCACAAAGCTATAACTTATATACAACTCCATCTTCAGGACAAAAGAAAATCTTCTGGAAAGAATGAGTTTTCACCAAAACAAGAAACAGCTGAGTTCATCCTCCTTTCTAATAATCTCATCATCACTCAAACTGCGCGTGCACGTCATCACAACATGCTGACAATGAGCTGCAAAGGCATGACAGCTCCCCATAAAACACAAGACCAATACTGCACATCATAAGAACACACACAGCCTAGCAAGCATCAAAACAATTATTAATTGAAAAAAAAAAAAAAGCATGTTAGCAGATATCTCATTACCTACACATGCTGCAGCATCATAAACTTTATTTAGAGCCAGGTGTAATATCTACCTCATTTTTCATATAAATCTTACCAGAATAACAAGTGGGTACAGTGGACTCACACATTTTAACCAGGCTTATTTACATTACGTGAAAGCAGAGTCCACAGGTAGGCTCTAGTGATGTCATCAGAGTTGAATGCCTCTCTGCAGCTTTTGTTTCCTGAACCATATGGAGCTCAGGTGAGGTGAAGGTTCCTTTGCAGATTCAGTCTAACTTTTCATTAAAAGTTCATCAAGAAAACAAAGATTTTAACAATGTTTGCTGCTATTTCGTTGTCATTAACATTAACCTTAGTTACTTACAGCTTCCACTGGGCTAGCTAATTAGGTTAACTTGAAGCAATCCTGTGATTCGTGCGCCTGGCAAGACTTTTGGTGCATTCATGTGCTGTCGGACAACATAGGAAAAACGAGTGTTAAAGTTGTAAAATGCATGAACACCTGCTCAAGTCCGAATTGACGCCATAATCGTCATTATATGGGGGGCAAAATATGTACCGTTAATGTTAAGATACTTTTTATTAATTCACTCACTGCACATCAACTTTTGCTGAAATAACATATCACGCCACAGATTTTCTTCGTAGCGTTTCTAGGCCGAAATGAATACTTTGCTCTTTCCATAAGGATTTCAAGGGAAAAGCTTGTACACACACTGCATCACTTTAAAAGCACTTCATTGCCCATTAGTTATATTTTGCAAGTTAGACAGCGTACGAGGGTTTGCATGCAATTTTCTTCGTTCTTAAAATTGTGACTTTGCACAAACATCATTGTTTTTGAGTGCCAAAAGAATAAAAAAAGAAGACTCATATGTTGCTACATTGTGTTACTTTTAAGTACATATCATAAGTGGGGAAAGAAAGCGTTAAAAAAATATATTATTTGCCTGCGTGTGCCCACAAACATCATGCCACCCCCAGTTAAAAGCTTTATTACTCCCAAGGAAAACTCCAAAAGGCTCCAGATTACTGCTCCAATATTTCAGTATAATAAGAGTCGGCCAAAAGAGCATCAAATATACTTGAAAACATAAAGTGCATGTTAACATTTAAAGTGGTGTGAGTGTGAAGAAGCATTGCCTAGAGAAAGGTATCAATATAGATAAGTTAAAGCTCCTGTGAGGAACTTCTGGGTCGTGTTGATAAAGTAGGATGCTTTTTCTCTTCTCCTGTGCGGATGTACGGAGTATCTCAAACCTGCAAGTAACAATCACACTTCGGAACTGACGAATTTCAAAACAGCTGTAACAGCCTGACCTAACAACACGCGACGCGAGCAAACTATTGGAGTGTCCTAACTGCCCGTGTGCTGTTTTTACCCCGATGTTTCTATCTTCGTCTCTGTTGCTCACAAAGATGGACGAGGAACGAGAAAGGAGGGGGCTCTCAGCTGAGCTTGTTAGCTTGTTGTACAGAGGTGAGATATCGGTGCATAAATAATATCCACATCAGATATTGAAATGTTGAGCTTTGACTTGTGTCAAGTACTCCGGAGAAAAACTTTTTTTCAGCTCACCTCAAGCCGTTTATTGACGAGCCCCTGAGTGTTGTGATTTGAGTCAACAGCTTTGACTTTTTTATTCAGTTCAGTTTGTTTCTTTAACAGCTTTAGGATCTTTAAGCTATCTAAAAAAAAGGCAGTGGCATCATTGATAGTAGAAGTAGAAGTGATATTTGAAGGTAGTCAAAAGTTATATTGCACCATATGTAATGAATTTATGATAGCATGTGATATTCAACACAATTGTACACGTTAATGAAGATAATTTTTTAATGACCCACTTTATGTGGGTCATTAAAAAATGTGTGTTTGTTTGTTTATGTGTGTGTTGGGGGGGGGGGGGGGTTGCATATTTTTGTGTATGTGTGTGATGGCATGTTTAGTGTGTCATGCAGGAAGAAGGCAGCTGGTCCAGGGGAAAGAAGAGAGCAGAGCGGATGGTCGGCCTGCTGCTCACCGTTTCTCTTGTAGCCAGGAACTCATCAGTCTGTCATCAGCTCCATGAGTAGCCATGGACACTACACACACACACACACACACACACACACACACACACACACACACACACACACACACACACACACACACACACACACACACACACACATACACACACAAACACAGCTGGGCAGCTGAGATGGCAGGGGATGGTGTACGTGACATACTGCTTGTGTCAGAAGTGACTCTACTTCTGTTCTGTCTTATACCCTCATGCTGTATAGACCAAAACAAAGGGAGGGTGGGGCTATGATAGGTGGAGAAGGGCAGCAATGCAAAATAAAAACAATGCACACTGTTTGACACTGACAGCAAACTGAGGCAAATTCCTTTTGGTAAACGTAAATCCAGGTAAACAACTATTTGAGGGTTTTCTGGGAAATTCCTTCAGTAGGCTTCTTAAGATTGAAATAACTGGATGCTTACACCCAAAAGCAGTATATTGTCAAACATAGTTAAACATGTTATATTGTAAAAAATCATAGTGCTAGTATGCGCTGCACGGTGGTGCAACGGTGGCGCAAGGGGGGCGCTGTTTCAGCGAGGAGGTTCCTGGTTTGAATCACCGTCGGACAGGAGCCTCTCTGTGTGGAGTTTGCATGTTCTCACCCCCCCCCCCAACAGAAAAAGCAGTATAGATAATGGATGGGTGGATAGTGCTAGTATTGTCCATGTTAGGATATTAGGGATGCTGATGTCTGAGCTCAGATTGCAAAGTGAATTAATTGGATGTGTCCTCATGTCATTTGCTAAAAATTAAATCAGTGCCTCTTCTTCTGGGTGTGTAAAAGAAACGTTTTGTTACAGCTCCTCTCTTGAATAAATTAAATATGATCTAGTCTGAGCAAATTTTCTGACTTTAGATAAGACGTTTGGCTCGTTTGTGAACTGATCATCACTACTTTCCTCTTCATAAATAAGTCTGCTGTGCAATAAGTCACATGAAGCTATGAACTGAAGTCGTCCCTAAAATTTCTCTCCACACACAGCAACGTTTCCCTCCCACAAATCAAGACACACAGCGGACCTGTTAAAGTAAAATATTTTATTTAGAAATGATTATTCATTTTGAAAATACGTTTAAGAAATCCAGTGATATATGTAAATAATCAATAATCAGGTTAAAGTGCAAAAATACATTTCTGATATAATGTATCTGTACAAAAATAACATTGGAATGTGATATTGAAAACGTGTCTATGTTAACATGGCTTTGATCATTCTCAGCTCTTGTATTAAAAACATTGCATAAGAGTCGTGTCCCTTTTTAAAAAAAAAAAAAGTTTTTGGATTAGAAGTTAAGTTTTCACTGAGCAGCCACACAGATTTTTTTTTTATAGCCTTTTTGTTCTTCAGGTCCATTTCACATTCCACACGTCCACTGGGTCCTGTGCCAAATCAGGCTTTTATAACTACGCACACACGTCTCCGCTAAGGCCGATTTCTGTGTTATTTCTTTAAGAGGCTGGCTGCTGAAACATTTCATCCTTGGAAAGTATTCCCATCGCTGCGGACGGCTCTGAGATGAAAAGTCTTTGGTTGTTCTTTCACTGTTGTTGTCTTTGGTCATGTGTTTTTTTTTTCCAGTGTCCCCCCCCCCTCCCTGCAGGCAGAGTGAATCACTTGATCTTGGCTGGCTTCAGTTCCTTGACCTGCATGTGTAATGTTTTGTGGACAGCCAGAGTCCTGGACTGACAGAAGCCCTTCCCACACTCCTGACATTTGAAGGGTTTTTCTTTGGAGTGGATGTACCTGCGGGGGGGGGGACACAAGCGAGCAGCTGGTTAGTATTCAGGAGGAATCATCAGAAGAGCATCATTATAGTCTGAATGGATAACGCATGTTAAGCTTTGTGACCCTTCCAACAAGTTCTCAGAATAAACAACACAGCACATTTCTTAAAAACAAACCACATGAGTTCTGTCCACTTTAAGGCCAATGTTTGGTTTACATAATGAACAAACACTACAGTATAAATCCCAGAGATCTGTGGACTTAAGGACAAACCTGGGCTGTATTTGATCATCTAATGAATGATGGTTTTGGATTTGCTTCAGAGGATTCATTCATCAGGGTGAAAATACCAAATCAAAGCATGTCCACCAGTCCTTACTAAGTTGTTTTACTGAACTTATGTATCGTCATATTGTGGTAAATGTATTTGAATGTATCCTCATACACTTCTATTGGTTTCATGTTATTGAATTTTATTCCTTGTTTACCCAAAAGTCCAACTAGGGACACAAGTTGGAAATCGGATAGCTATAAACTCTTTGTGCAACACATTAGCTTCATGCTTTTTATTGAAACTGATGTTGAATTAAACGACCACTGAGAGGCACCAATTGTTGATCTAAGTGTCCGACAACATTACAGAAAGCATCCCTTAAAAAAGGCCTTTTTATTAAAGAGCCAGATGTTTGTTTTAAACCACAAAGAGATGTCACATTGCTCTTCTTAAAGCAACCAAACTCCATTGACAGAAACAGTCATTTCTACCTTGCAGAATAAATGAGTTGCTGTATGTGGCTCCAATATGGTTTTGGATCTGAAACCAGATCTGCTCTAGTCCGACTACAATCTAACCTCAGGAGTGACAGGAGGCCGACTTTTCAGGATGTTTAATGTAGCCGGCTGTAGTCGATTTTGGGTGTAGCTGGCGGTGGTGACAAAGGACTTAAGCCCAAGACATTTCCATTGTTTAAAGTCCAAATATCAACTTGAGAAGCGAGAATGATTCAGTGTGAGCAGATAAATCGTGGGCTTTGGTCGACTGGTGTAAACTGTAGGCAACTAGTCTATCGATGACATTGGACAAAGTTGAATGATGTGACTTGGGTATAATCTTGTTTTGGGTCTGCTGCCTTTCTGTTTGTTTTAGTAATAAACCATATTAAACATGGATGTGGTCACAGTGACATCATTACCCATTGGTTACTGAAATTATGAAGCCAAATGATGGCAGTCTCCATGTTGGAGATACTGACACCAACTAAATTAAAATAATCTAGAAACGGGCTAAAAGGACGGAGCTGAGTAGAATATCTTTACTTTACTGGCTACACTGAGTCCACCTGTCAGTCAAATCAGACAACGCCCAAAAGGTTATTTTGCACTTCTGCATTGGCTTCATTCTCGTGGGTTGCCGCTTGGGATTACTAAATCACAAAGCAGTAACAGATAGACAGTATAAGCTGTTTCCATTATGACAATGTTATTATGTTCATAAAAAAAAACACTATTAAGAACAACCAACTCTCAAGCAGCCCAGTCACACCCTGACGTTCACTGACTATTCAAAGCAGGTCATAGCATCTCTGGATAATGAAATCTTCCAAAGTAAACACATTTCCTGTCATTTAAATCTAGCAAATTAAATTATTGTTATTGGTCTAAATTATACCATGTACCACACCCTCGCTATAGGCTCTCTCTCCTCACATGAATCCAGGTGTATTAACCTGTTTCTGCACGTCGGGTTACTGCAGATACTGATGTAAAAGAACTGCAAAGACTAGGGTGTTATAAATCCATAATTGATCAATGAAAGGTCTTTGACAAGCTCAATTTGCTGGTAATGAAATGCGTTATGTTGGTGTTCATTCACGGGAGATGTTCACTCACACTGTACTCAAGTAAACAGGACCTTAGCTTTTTTTTTTTTATACTGAGTCTTTTTGCTACATATTTTGTGAGTAACTGCCTTAATTAATCCTGCCTAGACAACTGAACACTGGAGCTGGTGCTGCTCATGCTAGCCCTTCCTTCTCACATGCTTGACAGGATTATCAAAAACGTCATTGACACCGGGTAGAATTATGGCAATAGGTTATGACCTATCGACCTTTTCCGACCTCTGCCCTTTGCTGCATGTCATCCCACACTCTCTCCTCCCAACATTACCTTCCTGTCCAGTAAAGGCAAAACTAGCCCCAAAAAACAAAGTGTCATCCCAACATGTACGTGGCAAAAGTATTAATTTAAGTCCCTGGGCGTCCACCTGACTGCATGGATAATTAGCAAAACCAACCGTTTTTTCAACAAGTGGCTCACTCCACATATTTAAGAAGTGAATCGGGATATTCTGGCACAACTTCACCAACCAGCATGGTGGTTAAAGAGGTCAAAATTCTCCAGCAGCACTTGCAGTATGAAGATCAATTATTTGTAAAAATAGACCAACGCATTTCGGCTTGTGCCCTTCATCAGGGACCCTGAAATGTATGTCTTAACACAAAAAAAACAAGTCCAGAGTTAGCCTGTTTCCCCACCTTGCTGAGGTGCTTTTGCGACTGACAGCTTAAGTAACCGTTCATTCAAACAGAATATAAAGACATCCATTCTCTCTGTTGTTCTGTAGGACAGGTCTGGTTCTCACCTGTGGTCCCGGAGGTGGTCCTGTCGTCTGAAGGCCTTGTGGCAGATGTCACAGGTGTATGGCCTCTCGTCCGTGTGCGTCCTCTCGTGGATCAGCAGGTTGTAGGATTTGGTAAAATGGCGTCCGCAGAACTTGCAGACAAACTCTTTCTTTGTCTTGGAAGGCAGGCGACCTCGGCTGGACTTGCGCTCCGGAGAAGAGAGTTTGGTCACGTCCAGGAGGCATCCCAGGCCGGCGGAGCTCGGGTGGAGAGATGAAGCCTGAGCTGCGGCGGCGGCGGCGGCAGCACCAGTTATGCTCAGATCTTCCGCCTTCAGGTGATCCTCCTGGGTGGCTGCTGTGGCCAGGTTGGCAAAGTCAAAACGGGGCTTGTTCTTGGAGCTCAGCAGCAGCCCCGCTGAGTCTTGCCTGGGCTGCAGGAGGTGGGGGAACAGGGGGATGGAGGCCATGGAAGAGAACTGAGAAGGCAGCTTGGAGATGGTGCAGCGGGGGAGGCCGAGTGGAGGGTAGCCGAGGGTCCACTGGTGGAGGTGGATGGCGTGCAGGGCGCTGAAGCTGTAGATGCTGTGTAAGTTATCTGCTGGCAGCTGGAGACCTGTGGAGCTCTGCAGGAGGGAGTAGTTGGCCAGCTGTAGGGATGGGTGGAGGGGGACCGGTGCTGGCAGGGTCTTACTGCCCATGGCTGCTCTGAGATATCCAACAGGCGACCTAGTGGAGACAAAGAACACAAGCAGATGAAAATATGCCTATTTGAAACTCCAGATAACATCACTGGTGACCAAATATTTGTCTTAAAAAAATATTATTTTCCTTCTTTCTTCTTCAAATAAGAAGAGTTTTCAACTGAAGAATCTGAAATGATGCTTTAACCCATTGCCTTTGCTCCGCGGTGCAGTCAAGAATATTTCTGTCACATTCCTCCTTGCAAACACTTTTAATCGATTTTTTGGGGGGATTAGAGAAATATAATAAAAATGATTCAGCTTTAGATGTCTTAGAGTGGTGTCGACTTCATCGGAGGTAAGGCTGTGTTTATGCTAACCTAATCATGTCCTGCCTCCAGGGCTGCAATTCACACACAGGTGTGAGGATAACATCTTCAATCTTTGAGAGGTTATTCCTGTGATCGTTGAACAATGAAGCCCAGAACATTAGTAGCTATAAGAGGAAACTATCGTCCTTTTACGAATCAAATTTAGTCGGACTTAAAATGGCTCAAGTTTGACTTCCTGTAGAAGATCCACCGTCCTTGTTTCACTCTGGTCACATTAGTGAATCCATTGCACCTCCATGTGTGTTTGCCAACTTCAAAACAAGAAATCGACTTTGTTGTTGGTTGGTTTTTTTGAAAGTGCAAATCGAACAGTCACAACAAGTACAACTTTTCTCCTCAAAAAGTATTGAATTATAAAATAGTTTACATTCATGAAATTTGAATGACTTGACCTCATTAAGATGCGAGGACTAGGGGCTCTAACCGTCACCTGAGTGATAAACCTAAAGCAGGGGCAGCCTTTGTTTGAAATGCATATTACTAATGTACCAGTTTCATACCTCCGACCCCCCCAGAACATTAGTGACTTGTCAAAACAACACAACAACACACAGACACACTTCTATCAGGAGCCACTACACATCCAGTCATGCTTGCTGATAGAGTTGTTTTGTATGTGTGGGGGTGTGTGGTGTGTGTGTGTGTGTGTGTGTGTGTGTGTGGGGGGGGGGGTCATTATCAGATAATGAAGTCTGTGCATGTGAAAGAGAGAGAGCTCTCAAACTGTGGTTTGATCCTGCAGAGTTTGTTTTAGTAGGAGTTATTTTGCAGTCTGTTAATAATAGGGCTTTAATTACAGCAGAGACAAGGATCAAGGTCCTCACAAGTGGACTAAGACACTGAGACAGCGTGTGTGTACGTGTGGTAAATGTGTCAGCGAAAGTGAACACAAAACAATTGGCAGCATTAACACACACACACACACACACACACACACACACACACAGATGTGTCTGACTGTGTGTGTGTGTGTGGGTGTTTCCTGTTCCCAGAAACACGCCCGAGGCTGTTGAGGGCAGAGAGAGAGAATGACAGCATTGAGCCGCAGAAATACCTGTGAGCTGTTAAATCAGGTTTGATAAGCAGGAATAACAATAGACAATAATGTATCTTTGTCTGAGGCAGACGCTGATGGACAGGAGCCGCCGCTGCTCCAAGTCACAGGCCACGCCCCTCACCTGCTCAGCTCGCACAATAGATCTGTTTAATGCTCACGGCTGCTGCTGCTGCTGCTGTACAACGACCTCTCACTCAGTTGAGTTTAACTTCAGAATATAAATATGTTCTACTCTTTAGTTCAATCACAAAAAGACCTTTTATGACATTAGTCCGAGTAAAACTGGACTTTTTAAAAGCATGTTAAGTTGAATTTCTCAAAGTGGGACTGACACACCTCGATAATCCAGCTGGGGGACTGTTAACTCTTGAATGTAAAATACACCTCAAATGGCGTGCTCCACAGGTACTTTGACCTGCAAGTCTAACAGCACAAATGTGAAGAAAAAAAATGCCAGGAAGAAAACATGTCAAGTGTAACTTTACAACTTTTAGGTTTTTCATGTTATCAGCATTTGACATACAGTTTGTTGCTTGTTAACTTGTCTGTCGATTGTTTGGTATGTAATGTAAAAGGTCAACCAGAAGAAAGGCCAACAGATACTAGCCTAAAGAGGGTATATCGCCACCTACTGCTGCGTAGTCTAACATACTTCTGTCAATGTAAAGTCCCCCCCCCCCCCCCGCTTGTGGACAGGGACAGTTGTCCAAAGAAATGACCTAATGGAGTTTGCTGGTTGTAGTAAAAAACACATTTGTGGCATAAGTTCTAAACTTGAGTAATGTTTTGGGTGCATGCCTCAAGGGGTCACACCTTGCACCCCACCCCTCCTCTTTTCTTTTTTTAAACATATTTTTGGGGTGTAGATGACTAATAGGTGGCGAAAGACTTGGATTCGGGGTCCTGGTTTACCTCAGTCAGTAGAGCAAGCCACGCCACAGAGGCAACAAAGATCCTCGACTCATTATCTGCAGGCTCCTCGCTGTATTTTTCTTTTTACAGGCAAAAGCCAAAAACATAATCTTTTATTAAAATTAGATAGCCTTACACATTTTATGAATTGGTGCTGTACAAATAATGATAGATTGATTGATTTATGGGGCAGTAAAAGTCTGAAAAGTCTGGGAGGTAGAGCTGATAGTTAAAGAATAAGATGCTTCTCACCAGAATCAGGTGTTACAAAGCGTTCTGAAGCGACCACACTCCATTAATAAAAACATCTGTTTAACGACGCAGAACTCAAAGATGCTCCATGTTCGAGAAATCTGATGGACACACTTTGAAAACTGTTTTGCATGTTGATCATGAAGACCTCAAAATACATGTCAGGTTTAAAACGAGCGGAGTCAGCAACTTCTGGATTTCCATTTAAACTACGTAGTTAGTAACTTTGAACTTCAAGAGAAATACACTCACATTAAAACTCTCATCCAAAACATGCTGCAGAATATGATTCAGAGTGACAGACTGAACTACTCAACAGTTTATAAAAACATTCAGATTGATGATCCAATGTGATTATTTGATATTTTTAAACACACATGGATCCATTCTGTTGCACCAGACGTGTTTTTAACCTTTCATTCTGTTTGATTTGGATTCTTTTGGTACATTTCTCATTTTGGTATAAAGTAGTCACAGGCTCCTGTCACTGCTGTAGTCACTTATTACAGATGGAGAATATTTTCCCATCCCATTTTCTGGCACAACTTCACCAACTAACAAGATGCTTCAAGAGGTCAAAATGCAGAAATGCGTCGGTCTAATTTGTTAATAAAGTTGATCTTCAGACTACAAATGTTGATGGAGCTTTTTGACCTCGTCAGATGGAGAATAAAAAGATCATGTTTACAGTAAAAGTTATTTGATAAGGGGTGCTGGTAGTGTAGTGGTTAGTGCATGCACCCCAGGTATGGAAGCTGTAGTCCTTCAAGCGGGTAGCCTGGGTTCAAATCCGACCTGTGGCTTCTCTCCCGCATGTCATTCCTCTCTCTCTCTCTCTCCCTTAAATCTGAATCTATCTACTGGCTTGTCTCTAATTAAAGGCAGAAAAAGCCCAAAAATAAATCTTTAAAAAAAAGTTTGGTGATAAAGTCATGAATGGTGCTTTTGCTGTTGTGCTCAAAACAGAGATGAAAAAGTAGGACATGCATGTTTCACAAATACTGTGAAATATATTGCAAATACATTAAATGTTCTTTCACTCACTTTTGACGTCATTAATTTCAACAGAACTGACATTTACTTTGAAATTGCACTGCTTGTCATTGCAGCTTAGTTCAACAGAAACATGTTAACATCCCTTCATAAATATTTGTCGTCATAAATTGATCTCATTTTTCATTCATGAAAGCGGCTTCGAAAGCCTTTAACTGAACATGTGTCAAGACGAGCATTTTTTACCAGTCACATAATTACTAAACATACTTCTGCTGGATTCAACATTTAGTTAATAAGTAGAAGATGCTGATTGTTCAACTTAAATCCCTTCACCATTTTACATCCCAGAGTTTGCAAAAATCCTGAATTGAGTTTTTCTTATGAGCAGAAGCAGAGTAATATTAAACAGCAGAACATTCACATAAACGACACCTTGTTTTGTTAGTTTGTTTTTCAACCTTTAAAGGACAACAGATTATTTTCACATATTGATAACATGTTCTCTGAAACATGAACCTCACATAGAAATAAACAAAAACTTTAAGAATAAAGCTAAACGACCACAATGGTGACCACAGATCACATTTCATAATCAGTAAAGTTACACTTTGAGAAAGATGCCGTCAAATAAGAAGAGAAATGTGGAATGCAGAGTGAGTCAGTGGAAAAACACGAGCAGGCGTTACAAGGTTCTACAAGGACATGTTCTGTGAATGCACTCTTTATGCTGGGGGGGAAACCCGGTATCTCCGAAACGGATCAGATTTATTTAAAGATTAAGAAAAATGTGTGGGATTATAAACGAATATATGAGAATAAGACACTGAATAACTTATCTAATTTAATCAGCACCTGCACAGATGAGAGAGCTGCTTAAACAAACAATTATTTATTAGAATAAACCGTCTAGGAGTTTTTGTTTTGATCGCTTTAGGGTATTAATCTTTATAAAAGCTTCATGTTATGTTGTCCTAAAAAAGATCAAGATTTAAATAAATGGCTTAAATAAAAATGTTAGAAATGGCCGTGGTGGCGAGGCCTCTCGTCCAGTGAACTCCGGTGAAGTGTTTGTAATGAGGAGCAGCGGAGCTCGAACAGCCCCCCGCAGCCTGTTCCTCTCTGATCATGACGCAGAAGTAATTGACTTTTACTTAGGAGGTCATTAGAGGAGATAAGTGCAGCGCTGCTGAGCCTCTGCTCACCTTTAACCCTTTGATGTCTGCATACCAGGGGCCCTCCACATCCGAGCAGCCGTGTGGCCCTGTGTGTTTGGGTCTAGGCTGTGAGATTCAGCGCCTCAGACAACCTCGACGTGGCCGTTGCGACGCCGCTGCTTCTCACCTCTGTGTAAACGTGATCAGGCTGGGTGCAGTACGCACTCCAGAGACTGATATCATGAATGGATATCATATTTCCCTTTTCTACAGAACTGAGCAAATAAACCGTCCAAACACAGGCTGAAAAAACATCCAGGAAAGAGTTCATGTCCACAGACCTTTTGAGGGTGTGTATTTTTTTTAATTTTTTTTTAAAGCAACCAACCAGGTCAAGTTTATGTTCTGCAATTTAAACTTACAGTGTGCAATTTGCATAATAATTCATCAACTTCTTGACACTATTTACTTAATTTTTTTATATTTTTTTATGCCAATTGAACAAAAACCTAAGTGGGAACTTGTCCATCACTCCGACTGTAACCTTTGTCAGTATACACAACTAGTAAAAGTGAAACTCAAGTAGTAAAACTCAAATCCTAATTGCTCCATGTGTTAGTGGTTATAACTTAAACTACTGTTTCACGGTTTGAAGCGGCCGTCTGGAATGTTTTTGACTCGTCGTGACCTCTTTAAAATCACACTTAATAGTTTTGTGATTCTTTCCCTCTCTCAGAGTTCGTCATCATTCTTCACAGTCAGAGAAAAAACTGAATATTTAGAGCGAGAATAAGAGACAAGACAGAAGAAGAAGAAAGTCATGGGCAGCAGTAACTTTGGGTGACCCCTCAGAATTATCTGCAGACCCCCTCCCCTGCTGGGTCATTTAACCCCCCCAGCTGTGAAGGCATGGTTTAAACTTTGTGTGAGAATCTTATCCTTCAAACCGGTAGATAAGAGCCTCAGATAAACATGTCAAAGTCATAAAACTTAGCAGCACATTAGGGACCAACATTCAGTGAAATGTATGAGGGCAGAGGGAAAGTTGTCCGTGATATAATTCTAGGTATGACCTGCATCGTCAGCGTCAGCTCTCAAAAATCTTCACATGTTCTGTTTTTGCATTTAAAAAAAAAAAACTTTAAATCAATGCTCCTGCAGTGCGGAGAACCAACCTCTCTACCTCTCTACCTCATCTTTATGCACTTCTTTACTCGTGCAGATGTTCACAGAATAGGAGAGTTGTGTCACACAAACCTGAAAAGTTTAATATCTACCGTCTTTACAGCTATAAGATCTGCTGCAGCAGGTCATTTAAGACCTCCACCGTGTGGCCAAGGTTCTCATTTTACACTGATGATCTTTAACAGCCTTCTTCAGAAAATGCATGCGACTTAATCTGCACAGTAATATTCCTCAGGTGGATTCATGTGAGATGATGCAAGGCCTACAGTTCTATATAATCTGCAGCTATGACACATGCATGCATAGAGACAGAGGCTGCATGTTTACATTAGAATATAACAGAAGTCATAAAAGTTTAAGCTGAACATCTCTGCACAGTGCACTGAGCACATGTCGATCTGTTTCCAATAAAACTCCACTTGTTTTTCTTTTTAGAACAATGTTTATTTTCCTACTCCAGATCGGAGGCCTGTTAAGTCTTTCATGTTGCAAGATGCAGATGCTCATAGCTAAGGTTTTTTGTTGTTGTTGTTGTTGTTTTTTTGTAGCTTGAAGCAGGTTGGAAAGTTCTTACTGCTTCCAAAAAAAGTTCATCTAAAAAAATAAATACAATATTTAAAAAAAGATTTAACACATGTTTACAAATGCTGGAAGTTTTTTTTTTCTAGAAGCTGCACTGTTAAATTAACCTCAGTTAACTTAGAAACATTTGTCACTATTTAGTTCAGACAATTTGATGAACTAAACAATTATCCTGAACGCGGACTTAACTTGCATATTATTCTACTTAATTACTTTTACTGCACTTTATATAAGAGTTTATTTTCTGATTCTGCAGCACGTTGTTTTTCTATTTGAATCTTGTGATTATTTGCAGATAAAAACAAAGTGATCACACTTTAAATCAAACCACTCAGTGCATTATAGGTGTTCAAAGTTGCGTCAGAATTTGACTAGCGCAACACATTCCTTCACAATAAAAGCCCAAGCAGTTTTACGCACTTTGCGTATGTTTTGACTAAATAAAACAAGTGCAGGACTTCTGGCTGAGGAGCTAACGTGCAGGCTGATTTTACACCAGTGTACAATATTTGACACGCATAGATGTCATCTAAAACGGCACGAGACGCAATAATCCAGTTTTACAGATTTCGCAGAGCGTGTAATCTACCTCCACCATGTCAGGCCTCCCGGTTCAACCTTTCAGTGGTCGAGGTGCTGCTGACCCGTCTGACCTTCCTCCCAGCCTGGCCGCTCTTAACATGATGCATGATGTAAAGGGCCTAGACTTTATTAGATCCGGATCTTCAGCATCATTAATTAAACACGTAGACAATGAAGAGTGTCAGAGCTGTTAAGAGAGGAGGTGATCCTGCTCTTCTTCACACATGTCTGTGATGATGTTTATTCAGTCTGCACGCGCTCATTGTGCAGACGGTTTCTGCATAAATCTTTATTTAACTTTTTCTTTAAACGAGATTCATCAAAGAGGGCTGGAGAGTGTTTAACAGAGGAGGACCCAACAACGAAACAATCTAAAGGGGGTCAGAATTAAATCTAGATTTGACTGTATAACTTTTTCTTGTTATTTAAAATGAAATGAATTGCCACGTAATAATTAGCAACCCACCTAGTTTACATTTGGAGCGTTGTTCGAATCCAAATGGGAAATTACGCGCATTTTAAAAACGCCATCACCTCCATACCTGCAGATCTGCCGAGGAAGCACTTTTTGGAATCATTTTATGACACCATCTGTTTGCTAAAAAGTTCAATATCTCAACCAAAATCATCTCATTCCCTTCAAATTTATCAAATCTAATTGAATTTAAATTTTGTTCTCGCTAAATATGTCAATACCGATCATGTTGAAATGAGAATAACAATGCAGTTATATCTGCTACACCTGTTGCACAATGTCACAGCTACAACTCCTGCACAGTTGTTTTTTAAAAATGCTAAAATAATCAGATGCATGTAAACAGAACATTTGTATTTAAGTAGTAATGTTTTATGTCTTAAACTTCATAAAATCCGGACTCTCTAATAAAGTTTTGGTTCCTTCTCCGCTCGGATGTGCTGATCCATGCCGTTACATTTTCTCTTCCAAACATAAAGAAAACAAATTGGAGACTCACCAATAGGAAAAGTTTTCTTTTTTAATTCTCCGTGTCCAGTCGGGGTCCAGGCGGTGGTTCAGGGTGTTGGAGCCCCGCAGAGCAGTCTTGTTCCTCGCGCTGGATGAGTTAATGAGACTGCCGGAGCGGCAGCATGATCCTGCGGGGTTCCTCCGCGGTGAGAGCGCACAGAGAGGAGGCAGCGCACAAGCAGGCACGGCGGTGTGGAGGAGAAGTCGGTGCTCGTTGTGGTTGATGGTTGTGATGGTTTTGATGGGGGGTGATGGTGGTGGTGGTGGTGTATAGCGGTGGAGTTGGGACGCCTCTCTCTCGCTCTCTCTCTCTCTCTCTGCTCCACTATTGTGCGCTCTCCGCTGCCCGCTGCCTCTTTATTGCAGCGCAGAGTCCGACTCCTACAGGCGCGTCACTCACAGCCAGCCCACAGACACACAACCACACACAACACACACACAGCAGGACGCAGAACATCAGTGTCCTATATGATCCTGTAGTGTCAGACAGGAAACAGGCGCGTGAGCTGAGTGTTTTATGTGCGCAAACTTGACTCTGTGCATGAAGCTTCGGGAAATTAAACAGAAAAGTTTGACACGAAATTTACAAAGACGGAGAGACTGTTGTAGGAAGAGCTGTGACAACAGTTTTATTATGCCAGAAATAAAAAAATAAATCAGAAACAATACTATTTAAGGGAATCACTCCATTTCAGTGTCAGAGGCTCTGATGAATGATTTGTTTTTTCTGCCACCAGGGTCAAATATGAATAAGAAGTTATTTTCACAGGGTCACAATCTTTAACTGAATGCACTTATACAAACAAACCACATGGATGGCCATCTGAACTTTCTGAGTATTTCTTGATTAGGTGACAAAGTGACTGAGACACAGTGGAGACCTGGTTCCATGCACAATGTTAGGATACATGAGGTGATGACATCACATGTGCAAAAAGGGTTGGGTTAGGGTTAGGGTTAGTTTAAAAGTACACATATTGTTAAAAAATATTTCAATAAAAAATGGCCAAACAATTGGATTCATTGAAAGTGTTGCTCATACAATTCTGATAACAGTACTCATTGTTTAACACATAACTGAGCACAATCAGATGAAAACTCCATGGTCAGAGAGGAGTCTGCAAAAGTAAGATTCTGAGGACATTTTTTTAAAAGTCACAAAAGTTAAGATTAAGAGAGGAAGACCATCAGAGCAAAGATGCAGACAAATATAGAACTGAAAATGATGACTTCATTTTGATTGTAAGCCGAGCCGTTTTGCAAGTAAAGCAGAAAGTTGCAGTGCAGACCTGTGGGTCAACGAGTCATTCTGAGTCAGGGTGAATTTGATCACTTTTGGTGAAACAGTTCCTGTTGCCTGGATACCTGAAGAAGAAGACCTCTTCAAAATCTTTTGTAAACGTGGGCCCTAGATTATAGAACTTTTTTGTATCTTTGAGTGGTTTAGTGCGATCTTGCAGCCCTCCCTGTTGTCCACTTATTCTATAACATCTGATCAGGCTTTAATGTTGATTTTTTGCAGATTGGGGTAAACATGGAGTCTGTCAGAGGAGAGTTTGTGACTCTGCAGCTCTGCTCATTAAAACCTCTCTGCTCGTTCTGCATTAGGGCTGCATGCTTCATGCTCTGCTCTCCCTCCTGCTGTGGATGTAGTTTATATACTGCTGGTAAGAATGTCCAATGATTAAACGGGACTGTTTGGGAACAAGTTTGCACTGATAGTAGCAGCTCTTTGGCACTGCGCTGTAATTACATGTGTGAATAATGAACCCTGAAGGCCTCACAAATCAGTGCAGAGGGACAGTCAGCACACACACGGGGACTCTTTGAGGATGTTACTCCTTAATTATTGTGTAAGAAGACGACAGATTGATCCATTTGTATGCTATTTATAGCATGAAAGACTTCTTTTCTTTCATTCAGTTTGTACATGAAATATAAAATAAAGAAGTTTTAACCCTCAAACTACTGATGTTATCCTCTAAAAACTGTTAGTGATGCAATTAATGTCATCGAGAGGAACGAAACGGACAATTGGATGATTAGGAAAGTGATCTATAAATAGCATTGTGTAAAAAAAAAGACATAAAAACTTAAACTTAAAAAGCTTTTTCTTGGTGTTTTCATCATTTAAAATAACTCACAGGTGACTTGAGTCTGTTTCATGGTCAAACAATGATGAATGTGATAAAAACAACATTTGATCAAATGTTATTTTACAACTTTTACTGCAAAAAAGCAAAAAGCAAAAACAAGGAGATCAAAATATACTGACAATCATAATTTTGAGATAATTTCAGGAACCTCAGAAGATAATGTTTCTGTATGTTGGTGTAATCTGCAGTTTGTTCTCAATGAAGTGAAGTGTCACGGCCCGCAGGTGAAGCAGGACGACACCCTGAGGTGCTCTGAGCTGCAGGATGTGTTCGGTGAACAACATCTGCCCTCTGCTGGACAACTTTTAACTGGAGAGGATTTTGACGCTGACTGTAACAGCACCACTGACCTTTTGTCATGTTTATCTCCTCATAGTGGCAATAAAGTCTCTCTCTCCAATACACATGAACGTGTTCATAATCAATCAGTTATAGCTCTGATTAAAACATGAAGAGAAGAAGAAGCAGCAGCTCAATGAGTATCCTGGCTGCATTAACATTTTAAGCAGACAGAATTTGAGAGAATAAATTGAGATACATTTCAAAAGATTCCAAACAAAATAAACTGTCAAGAATTGTAATCTTTTAGTTTATTTAATGTTTTTTTTTAAAAAGCTTGTTGAGCTCTTTTCTAGTCTTCTGACTCCTTAAAGCTCTTTTGCACTGCAGGTCACACCTACACATTCACACTCTGATGGTAGAGGCTGCTGTGTAGTGAGACCATCAGTATTAAGCAAAGTCCCTTGAGCTTTCACAGAACTCGGTAAATCAGCATTTTCTTTTGATGGAAGGCCCTCCAGTAAACGCTAAAGATCTGAGTTCTTCCCTCTCTTCCAGAGTTTAGGAATTAGAATTTTAGCCACTTTGTTTCAAATTGTTTTTAATGGAGCACAGTGGGTTTTTTTTCACTGATTCTGAGTGTGTGTTGTGTTTTTGCTTGTAATCTGGAATTGGAAATGAGGGAAACCTCAGTGTCCTGTCGCGAATAAATAAAGGTTTGAAATGAAATGCACTAATCCCATTCATACACATTCACACGCCGCTGATGAAGCAGCGGGAGCAACTTGGGGTTAAGTGTCTTTCCCAAGGACACATTGGACATGCTGCTGCAGGAGCTGGGGACTGAACCCAACTTCCGGATGAGGGATGATTGACTCTACCAACTGAGCCACAGCCGCCCAAACACTTAGATTTTTTGTCAACCCAGTGTTTCCTTTTCATTCAAACTTCAGAATATATACCTCAATACGGGGAATTTTCCTGAACATTTCCTTATATTGCGTACATCTCAACCTACAGAAAGAAGATCCCCCTCGTGTTTTTTGAAAATTGTGGAAATCAGTTTGTGGTGGTCTGTGCATGCCTTTGTTTATCTGATAACTGTTATTATAGCGTCATAAATTATATATCAATATGTACACATGCACACACACATAGACATATACCTGCAGAAATTCCCCCTCTAAAGTCAGAGGAAAATAAATATGTATATGTATGAATAGAAATATATGCAAACAATACATTATCCCCCTCCTATTTCCCATCCTTCCGAAGTGCTAGTACACTACCTGAGCACTGTCGTGGTGAACTTAAGAAAGGCCCCACCAGCTCAGGAGCGCTCACTGTGGGCAGCCCCCTCACTCTGATCCTGTTTGTGCATGTGTGTGTAGCATGTCTCAACAACAGAGTGTAAAAACTGAATTTCCCGTTGTGGTTTAAAAACTACTTCTTCTTCTGCATTAAATCAGATATCTTGTGCCATGCTAACGTGTAATGAGACGCTGACGATGACTTGCTTATAACAGTGTGGAGTTCAGGAGTACAATAAAACCAGTCCATCAGTCCATGTTGTCACAGAAGCCCAGCTACAACCCCCCTCTATACGAGCAATAAAACCCAGCAGCCAGCCATCATTTACATTGTGTGAGGCAGCAAAGATACACACTATAAATAACGTCCCTGCTCTGAGTGCCCATTGTCAGCTTCACTGCAGACACACACACACACACACACACACACACACACACACACACACACACACACACACACACACACACACACACACACACACACACACACACACACACACACACAGCAGCACATCAAGGCTCAGCAGCCCTCCTCTGAAGCAATGTTTACCATTCACTTACACACACTGTACACGCTGTTTACATCATTTCACATGTAATCCAAACACTCAGCAGCCGATAGGAAGCGGCTGCCAAATGCGTCCAGATTCATCAAACCCGCAGCACCGCAGAGTTTCCGTTTCTTCGGCCCTGTTCACACATGCGCTCCTCGACAGTTCTAGAAAAGCAGGGTACATCCCAGTTCCCTTCAACTGAATCCATGCATTTTACACTTGACTCCTTCACTTGTGTTTTACTGCTCAGTCAGTGTGCGCTGCGTTCCATCAGCGCCACGGTTTTGCTCTGGCCGACGCTGCACGCCCAGCCCCACTGGGTCTGTCTCTTGAGCATGAGCGTGGCCATGAGCAGCTGTACACACTGGATGAAAGGATTGCAGGAGAACTTTCAAGATCATGTGTGACCGTGAGGCTGTATGTTATTGTTTTATTTTGAAATGCTCCGTGCGTTCCCGTGTCTGTCTTCCTGTCTGGAACTATCTGCTCTGAGCTTGATGCGTGTTGCAGGGGGGAGGTTGTTGAAATTTGACTCAACGCGTATTTGAAACGGGGCAGATTGGTGTGGAGCTGCTGGCCTGCTCTTGAGACGGACCGCAGCGCGTGCTGTGGAAACACGAGCATGGACTATAGTGGGAGCAGCGGCGCACGGTGTAAGTGGAAATCAGCAGTTAGTCCTTCCCGGTAGAGATGCATGGAGTGCCGCAAGGAAACGAAGCAAAAGAGAAAAGAAATGAGGAAATGTGTTTTAAGAGACACGGGACTTGATTTCCTTACATGAAGCTACGTTCGTTTGAAATGACGGCTTCAGCTGTTCACAGCTTTCAGTCAGCTGAAAAGATGAACCACAATAACAATGGCCGACCCATGACTGCCCGTCGACATTGGGGTCCCTTGGAGTAGTACCTCCTCGTCCGTCCACACAAACAAACATTTCTGTTATCTTTACACCTATAGGCTGGATAAGAGAAACTAAAAGGCGATTAGCCATTTTTGCATTTTTCCAGCTCACCGCTCTGTAGAAGAAGAGAACGTGCACATGCCTGTTGCTTCATCACAAAGCCACATTGCCAACTCCTCACATGGCATGTATAATATTTAGAGATTTT